AAGCCGGATGTAATTCGTTTATACGTTGTAGACTTCCTGATTTAGTTGTTACGATGATATCTCTATTATCAATTGCATCGCCAATGTCACCAACAATTAAAGCAGCAACCTCAGAAGCAGTAGGTAAGTTATATGTCCTTCCATCTTGTTGCCTTCTTCCTATAAGACGTAACTTTAGATCTATATGAGGATTTTCATCAAAACAGTCTCTGGCCATTCTATAACACTTAACCAACTCATTGGTCGAATCCAACATGTCCTTCAAAAATCTAATGATTTCAATATCAAGAGAATGAGAAGTTGATGTGCAACCTTCGTTCTGTGTACTGTTAACAACAACGGTTATATGTAAAATTTAGCAAGTAAATAATTATATCAAAATTATAAAAGTAATGGTTTATAAAAAAATTAATAAAGTTATACCTGAAAGCGCGTTGTCTATTTGTTATTTCATTTTCAGTATCATATATGTATAGTTGTGAAAACTTTGGTTTGGATCCGTCTATAGGTAAAAGACTTCCCATACAATGGTAATTTTGACCGCTAAGTCTGAAAACATATGGAGCATTGCCCCTATTAATGGAAGAATCAACTTTTCCACCCATTGAAGTAAAGGAAAACATCGAATTGAATCGACGAATATTCTTCATGAAATTTTTTCCTTTTGGATCAACATTACGAAAGAGATTTTGATAATTTGTTGGAGCTTGTTTTAATTGAGGAAGCTCGACTTTTCCGTTACCACAACACATGGAATAAGAAGTTTTCTTTCCGGAAGTATTGCCTTTAAGAGCTTCATATGTCCATAATTGTGCATGACACATCGTACACACAAATGTCTGGTCACCATGGTCCAAGTAATCTGTTTAATAAAAACATTTGTAAAACTTTGAAATAATTTAATGTTGCAACAAGTAATAATTTAAATATAAAAGGGGATTATAAATAAAAATTAATATTTTCCTTTTGCAATACCTGATATTAACTGTTGACGGATTTGTTGATCACGTAAATCTTCATCTGATGTTAGGTCCAAAATGGGTATCTGAGATATATTTGGAATCTTTCTTTTTCTATTTAGTTTTCTGCATGATAAATTGCTGGAAGAAGCTTGAGTGACTGAAGATGAATTCGTAGCTCTCATGTCACCGGACAAGGTAGAATATTGTGCATTTACTAACAATAAAAGTATGACAATTAGTATTAAACTTATAAAGTAAATATATAAAAAATAAAAAATAATAAAAAAATGAATACATATTATTTTATGTGTACCATATATAGTAACAAACAGTAAGTTGAATATAAACGTAGTCGTACCATTCGAAATGTTGGACAACGGAGTTCTTGTAAAAAAATCAGAAGCATATTGAAAATGTTGTTGATCACGACCAACATTACCTATCAATAAAAGATAAGTTCATATAAATATGTATTAATTAGGGAACAATTAAGAAACATGTAAAATAACATAGTATCTTATTACACTATTTAGAATAAGTTTATATGGATACAATTAAATTAGTAAGATGCATGATATATATCATATACCGATTGGTACGGTGGACATGTGATTGGATCTTCTTGTATCCAAATAAATTTTCCTTTCTTTTCGTTTATCTTTAGCCTTGTTCGACAATGGACTGTCGATATAAATATTCGAAATAGACTGAACCCGTGTTTGCTGATATCCACATGACAAAGTTGGGCTGACATTTTCATTGTTACCAACAATATTGACAAACTTGGTTGATGAAGGTGTTTGAATGTTGGTAGTTATATTAGAAAGCACTGTAAAATAATATAAAATATGTAAGTTATAATGCAGATACAAATAAGTGTAAGTTACATATAATAAGAAAAAAAAATTAATGATATAATTAGAAATGATATATATATATATATATATATATATATAATATATATATATATATATATAAGCGATTTATAAAATAATAATGTTTAATTAATTGCAATGTAGCAAAGAGTGTAGGTAATACATAATAATATTTAAGATCCAGAGGATTGTGTGAGATTAAAAATATAGTATAAAATAAAAATTAGTCTATCCGATAAAAAACGATATACCATTAGATGATGTGGACATATGATTAGATCTTTTCTTATCCAAATATAATTTTCTAAGTTTTCTGTTCTCTCTAGCAGCATCAGACAATGCATTTCTAATATTAAAAGTTGAAGTAGATTGGAAACTTGTATGTTGATATGCGGATGATATATTTGGATTCAAATTTTCATTGTCATCGCGAATATGTGTACAATTGTTTGAAGATGATAAATGTTGCCGAGAATAACCTACATTGAATATATAATAATAAGAATGGCTAATTAGAAAATGCAATGATTATATGAGATAAAACGTCAGAAGATATAAAACAATATTTGTTCAACAGCCGTTACATATAAAACATTACTGAATATGAAAGTAAATTGAGATGTAGATAAAGAATTACCAAATGACAAGTTGGACATAACATTGGATCTTCGTTGATCCAAATATAATTTTCTATATCTGCGCCTTTGTTTATGTTCGTTTGAATCCATATCGTGTTTGTAGCTTAAGAACAAAAAAAATTATGTAATAAAAAGTATATTGACAATAATTTCATTAAAATTTAAAATTGAAAATTATAATAAACGGAGACATTAATACGATTAATATATAGTAGTTAAAATTTGGTAATATTTAAGAATTGTATACTTTACATTAATAAAAATCAAGACTTCCAACAAAGAAGTGTATATTAACATAACAACTAAAATAAGATTTTTATCAAAAAACTTAATTTTAAAAGATTTAGGAAAATATAGATAAGCATATATATTAATACTTGCATCAAAAAAATTTATATTCATTTTGATATAACAAATAAAGGAAGGATTTCATAAATAATAAAAATAAGAAAAGAGAAGGAAAACCCGTTTTTTAGATGAGGCCGTCAAATGTGTTGCCAGAATGTCGATTTTTGACCTGGTTTAATATAAGATTCAGCACAAGAGATTAAGAGATTAATAAGACAAAGATACGGAAAGATTCATTGAAAATGACAAAAATACCCTTATGTAAAATGGATATACGTTCATTAAAAAAGTTAAGCAAGATTCTTTTGTCTTCTTACATGCTATGCTTAATGAAACCACTGAAGTTGTCAAGTATATTTATATGTATTTTTTTTAATTGGAAGTAGATTGAATCTATGCAAAAACACATTTAGGTCAATATGGACCAAATGTGCAAAATAGTGAACATTTTATTGTAAAAATGACGCTTTTGACCCTTGGTCATACATCAATCATAAATAGTTGGGGACAACAAAAAGTATTAGTATTTTTCAATTTAATTAATGAACATCAAAACAATAAAAAGTCACAATAATAGTGATAATAGATCATTCCATTATTTTTCCTGTTTCCATTCCATCACACAAACCAAATATAACCACTTTCAAATAAGTAGGAAAACACATAAAACAACACAGTTGAAAAGAAACATGCATAACAGTTAATTATTTTTTTAATTAGATTGCTGTAAATGGTTTCAAGTTTGAATCCCAATGTTGAAAGCAAGGACTTAGGATGGAAAACAGGGTATAGTAGTTCATTATCAAAGAATGGTCAGTTGTAATGTTCTGCAATTCATCATCAAGTTGGACACACAGGAACATAAAAACTGTTAAGCAGGTACACACACATACACATTGATAAACATAAACTGATGTTAAAAAAACAACGCACACATTAAAAAAAACACAAAAAGAAACAAAAGATAAACAAAAAATTTGAAAGTAGTTTTTTATAAACTTACAGAAATGATTGAACTCTGTGATTGTGATTGAAAACACGATTTTCCACTGTGATGATGCAAAAATTTGGAACACGATGTTGTAATAAACTCAATATTTCAAGAGACAGTGATAACAGATGAATTAGAATGAGTTATACATAATAAGTAATTTATAAAAATTATTTTTGGAAAGGATATCAAAGTTTGGTTTGAAATTATAGAGTATTCCAAAATTTTAGCTGTCATGAATCAATCTTTGAAACGTTTCCCAAGTTAGCGTGATATTGAAAGGGATTGACCAAATTTGTTCATGATTATAATTGCTCTATGTCATTCTAATAGTAATTCCTGCATATTAGGCACTAACTTCTTACATTATAAAATCAATTTAAAAAAAAACGTAAATGAGGATTCCATAAATTAAGCTACTATATAAAGATAGAAAAATTAAAATTCATGAAAACAAATATCTTCCTTTTTTAAAATAAACATCTGTTGCATCATATCACAATTAAAAGTTTTGGAAAATTGTAATATACGACTATACTATTGTTATTTATAAAATTATTATTTTATCACTTATAGTGGCCATAGTGGTGACTATATTTTTGTTATTTATAACATTATACAACATTTCTACTTTTGATATTTTAAGTTGTCAAACCGTGTAAAACACGAGCTTTAGGCTAGTATTTGATATAAATAACAAAATTGACTATGCAAATTATGAGATTTAAAATGTAGCATAAAATTACTTATACATCAAGTCAAATTATGTATAAGAATCATGGACTGTAAAAGAAAGTTGTGAAGATTTAAATATATATCCAATAATAAGAGTAAAAAATTCTTTGTATTTGGATGACCGGTTAAATTTTGTTGTAGGATGTGAAAGAGACTACTAATAAAAATGCCTTTATTAACCGAAATATAAAAGACGATTATGAAGAAAATATGAATGTAATGTCCAAATATAAAGTGCAATATAATGATCCCATAAAGAGTCAAATCCAAGTTGCTTATAATAAAAGAAAAAGTAAAACCTAACACGAATGAATATTCATAGTGTACCAAACACTAAATATTAAAATCCCAAATAAAATGCAAGTAAAAGTGCCAAATATTAAAAAAAATGTCTAAGAAAATAGCATAGAGTAGCAAAGAAAGATCGAAGTTATTGTCTTCATAAACATGATCACTTTTCAACTTTAGGAATCAACAATTTTGTTGTTCCACCAACTTTGCCATCTCCAATACGGGGTGCATTAGGTTTCGTTGCTGATTCATAAACGTCATCATCAAGATCGTAAACATCTACAAGTTTACGTTTGGCACTTGTAGGCGGTGAATTGAGGTTGTTGACTGTTCTTGATGATATGCCAGAGGGAATATTCGACACAGGAGTATTATCAGCAGTGTGGGAAGTATCATCCTTAAATAAAAAAAGAAATAATGTTGTTTAGTAATATAAAGGATAACATATATAAGAGTAAATGATGTAGTAATGTAGTTTACCTTACAACCCACTGTTTCTTGAGATGCAAATTCTGAGCCAATTATATTAACAGATTCAGTATCCATGTCCTATAAAATTAATGATAAAATAAAACAGTATGTTGGGTTAAGGAATCTAGGAAATAGTATTTTCAAAATATGTATGTTTTAAATTAATTAAATTGGTGTATAGTTACCTGTTCAATCCTACTCTTTTTCTCAATTTTCTCCAAAGCAGAAATAATGTCAACATTATCCGTTATTTTGGAAATGTTGTAAGAACGACCAAATCTTGAAACATTAAATGTCTTGACAACAATCTTGAAAGCCAATTTTTTGTCGATCATGGCATTCAACTCAATAGGAAACTGACTTGTATTGCCAAACTACAAAAATATATTAATAAATAATAACAATTAAATCAATGTGTGAAAATTAAGTTGTATTTAGCAAGATGGTATTGCATATAAGAAACATATACCCTTTCATATTTTGATAATAAATCAGCAGCAGATAATTTCAGAATATTTCTGACTTCACGATCAAAGATCGTAAGACTCACAACACCAACTAAACCTTGAACTCGAACTTTGATCATAAAACTAAAAAAACACATAAAAATTTTAAAAGTTTAAATTAAATATAATAATATTGAAGAATAATATACTAAGTTAATATTTATTACACACCTTGGTTCAGCAGTAATAAGTTTGTCCTTGCACTTTTCATTTGTACAAACCATAATCTCTTTCTCTTCTAACTGGTCCAAGCCATTGACCGTCTCATCTGAAACCTTAACTATTTGAACCTTTGACTTGCAATGTTTGCAAGCATTATAATACCAGTTCCGTGTATCTTCAAACATCTTTATTGTGCCAAGAATTACCGCACAACCTCCCTATGATATTAGGTGTATTAAATATTTAAGTGTTGAATTAACTAAATAAAAAAAGAATAATTCATATACTTCGTTCAATTCGTGAATAGCGGATATTTGGTGAAAAGAGTTTTTTTGAAGAAAGTCATCATGTAGTGAATACATGATGGATGAACCCGAGGTACGTGAAACCGAGGAAGTCAAAGAGCCTTTTTTTGCTTGTAAACTAATTAAGATAATTAATGTTAGATAGTATAACTCTATATTATTGAAACATTAAAACGTAATGAGAAATCATGTAGAAATTTCACATAACCTTTTTTTGAAAGTTGTTATCTCCTCAGTGTCATCTTCAATATAAAGTTTTGTGGCCAAGTAGGTGTTATTGACATAAGGACGATCTGAAAATGAAATTTAATAATTTTCCACATGTTAACAAATTCATATCATAGATATGTTATTAATATAAATATTAGAAATTAACAATTTACTAAGTAAGTACCTCGGACAAGCTTCAACTTAGCACATTGAATAAGCAATACAAAATGACCGGTATGCTTAGAGACATATGCATTAATTTCATCAGCATACCTTCCCCATAGGGTAACAAAAACTTCATGTCCTCTGTAAAAAATGATGAAAATTACTAAAAAAATATATAATAAAAAGAGTAATTATAGGTATAAAAAATGAAACCCACTCTAAATCCTCCATTTTGAATGTGATTTTCTTTTCCTGTCTATCCTTTGCAGGTTCCAATGGAAAACACCGGAAAACGTTTCCAATAACATCTATATTATACAAAAGGAAAAATGTAAGTATGTTTTTTTTGTGGTGTAAAAAATGAAATTTAAATATTTTAATCCATTAGGAATGGGTTGAAAGGAAATGCACTAACCAAATGAAATTTTTGGGTTTATTGCATTATCATGAAGTTGTTGGAAGTCTGCAAAATCAAAAGAATTCTGTGGCCCGCAAAAATCTATGCATTTAGTTACCTTCGTGTTATACTGGAAATAGAGTTTGTGTGGACCGTCAACAAACTTTATAGCACCTTCATTTAACCCTAATGTGGGTTTATGAATGTAGTAATCACCATATTCTTCAAAAGATTTTCCTTGAAGCGATGCAAATGGTTTGTCCACATTACATTCAATTTTTGAGCCCTTAAGATAAAAAATCAAATATTAATTAATAAGCATACAATAAATGTAATGATATATAAAATATGTAAGTTATAATACACATACATATAATTGTAAGTTAACATACGTAAGTTATAACATACCATTTCATCCATCAATATCATGCCAATCATACGAAGTTGTTGATTCCATGAAGTTTGTCTCCACAAACGGATGACACGGACCTTAATGGTATAGTCATCTTGTGAGAGAGCCAACTCACTTATCATGCTAATCTTCCTGTTTTCCATTAATCTATGCAAGAATGTAGTAATGAACATAAGAAAACACCATTTTAATTGCATAAATGACAAAACATTTAGGTCAATCATGTACCAAATGTGTAAAACTGTCAAATAAGGTTAGAGAGAAATCATAATGACTAAAAATTATTAATTTACAAATATATTAGTTTACAAAGGTATTAAACATAACATGAGTAATCCGAAGATACCAGAAGTGTCCCACAACTATAATCAAAACATACGATGTTCAACAGGCTCACCATATTGTAGGGGAAAAAATTGTATTCGGTATCTTCCGAGGAGAGTTACTTTATTTGAAGTTGTTATAAAATGGAATTTTCATTTTTTTTTACATAAAACAGTAAAACAAAGTCGGTTCTGCAGATTGAAGATATGCAAATAGACATTTAGGTCAATATGGACCAGACGTGTTAAATAGCCAACAGATTTGTAAAAATGACGTTTTTGCCCCTTGCTCATAGAAAAATCATAAATAGTTAGGGGACAAAAAAAATTATTAGTATTTTTCACTTTAATCAATCAACATTAAAACATAAAAAAATCAACAATAATAGTGATAATAGACCATCCTATTCCATATTTCCTGTTTCCATTCCATCACACCAAAAAAATATAACCACTTTTAAATAAATAGCAAAACAAAGTCAGTTCTGCAGCAATGCCCAAAATACAAAATATGGAATAGTAAAACAAAAATATAACCACTTCCTTTTTTGCTATAATAAAAACATATTTGTTTTGAAAAACCATCCCAATTAAAGCATACCTTTTTTGTAGTTTTTTTTTCTAATAACACCTGTAACAGCACTGATGTTATCATGATTCTAAGAGGTATTCAGTTTGTTATTTGCTATGGGTAATGAAACGACTGGAGTTATGAAGAATATTTATATGTTTTTTTTTGAATTGTAAGTAGATTGAATGTATGCAAATTCACATTTAGGTTAATATGTACCAAATGTGTAAACAACCAAGAAAAATGTAAAAATGACGTTTTTGACCCTTGGTCATACAAAAATAGTAAACAGTTGGGGACAGAAAAAAGTATTTGTATTTTTCACTTTAATTAATCTACATTATAACAAAAAAAAAAACAATAACAGTGATAATAGAGTATTCCATTCCTTTTCCTGTTTCCATTCCATCACATGAAACAAATATAACAACTTTCAAATAAGTAGGAAAACACCTAAAACAGCATAGTTGAACAAAAACATGAATAACAATTAATTTTTTTTAATTATATTGCTGTAAATGGTTTCAATTTTGATTCCCAAGGTTGAAAGCAAGGACTTAGGATGGAAAACAGGGGCTTTTATAAGACAATTTATTTCATTCTAAGTCTCCTGTTTAACAAAAGTCTACATAAAAAATCCTTGTTCATCTTATTTATTTACAGCTTCAATGTTGCTCCAGAACTTATACATAGAGAGTTACAGACATTTAATCATACGTTTTAACGCCCCTGTTTTCATCTACCACATTTTGATACATGGAATGAAAACTCAAAAGTCAGAATCATGCGTTTTATATTGGATTGATTTAGGAACATAAACAGTTAAACACAAACACACATGAACATAAACAGTTAACGCACACACACGCATACACATTGAGAAGATGTTAAAAAAACAACACACACATTAAAAAAAACACAAGAAGAAACAAAAGATAAACAAACAATTTAAAAGTAGTTTTTTTTATAAACTTACCGAATGGATTGAACTCTGTGATTGAAAAGAAGATTTTCCACTGTGATGATGCAAAACTTTAGAAGACGATGCTGTAAACTCAATATTGCAAGAGACAGTGATAACAGATGAATAGAATTGAGTTATACATAAAAAGTAATTTATAAAAATGATTTTTGGAAAGGATGTAAAAGTTTGATACATTCCTTGCAAAAATTACGTGAGTGAAGGAATGTTTGAAAAGTTTCTCCAAATTAACGTTATTTTTAAAGGGATTGACAGAATTTTGTTGATGATAATTAAGAAGGTTTATTTGAAATTAATACCTCCCTTGCAAAAATTACGTGAGCTTTTAAGTAGTTATTGACTTTCTTTAAATTCAGGGAAATTGATATATTGTATTTTCATTACGGATTTTTTAATTTAAAAGCAAAAAAATTAGAATTTGCCAAGTGGAATTAAAGGTAATTGGAAAAATAGATAAAATGCCATGTGGCATAGTGAATAAGGTGATGACATGTGGCAATGTTATTTTCTTTTATTAGGGTAGATTATAAATTATAAATTATAATTATAATTATAAATAGGGGACTATTGATATGTGGCTCCTTATTGTACACGTATGCTAAAATGTGACCGTTGTAGAAAGTGTTATTTATTTATTTTGTATTTGCTTTTTTACCTTATAGCAGCCTATCAAGTATCACCTTTGCGGTTAATCTCGGATTAAATAAGGGTTTTGACATAAGCCCTACGCCTCCTCTTTCTCCCCATATGAACTCTCGAACAAAAATTGGGTTTTAGAAATTGAAACATTCACGGCTGAATCCTTCTCCAAAATTGTTTCTTCGATAAATTGGACATAATACTGAAAGCTAAAATCAATGACAACATTTGAGGATGAACAATCGAAGGTAATAAACTCTTTCATGAACTTGCGTCAATGGTTTCATAATTTTCCTTTATTTTCCGCAGGTATCTTGCAACAAGGATAGATTCAAGAAAGGGGATTTGGTGGAAGTGTGCAGTGATGAAGATGGTTTCCAAGGTGCTTGGTTTGCTGCTACAGTGATTGAACATGTAAGTTCAGGAAATTTGATGATTCAGTATAAATCATTGAGGAACGATGAAGACACAGATTTTTTGACAGAAGTGGTTGATAGCAACCACATACGTCCTCATCCTGGTCAAGAAGCTGTTGACCATTACTATGAGCTTGAAGAAGTTGATGCTCTGTACAACGATGGATGGTGGGTGGGTGTGATTTCTAAAGTTATCGGCAAACAGAAATATGAGGTTTACTTCAGGGGAACGGATGAGGAAATGGTGTTTAAACAATCTGATTTGAGGCGACATCAAGAATGGATCTCTGGGAAATGGGTATCTTCTAATTTGGTAGATATTTTCAAGAAGTAGCATGTTTTATTCCTTTCTGCTAACTATTTTGACAATCTAGTAGGACAAGAATTGGTATTTGTTGACAGATTAGGTCTCTTATTTTGGTTACATTAAGGATCATCTTGTATTTTGGAGGGCATTAGTGTCTTTTCATTGGTTACATCTCATCTTCACAAATATGGGTTAAGAGAGTTTTCTTTACTTCACTATAAAGTTCTCCTAATAAAATCTGAAGTCTACAACGACTTTTCTTTTACTCTTTGATCAAATCTTGAAAAGTAGAGAAATTGACATAGAACCTGTATTCTGAGCTAGAAATGCAGGTGATGGCAATGGCGTAATTATGTATATGTTTGTGTTGTTATGTACAATTTTTACAACTATAAAACGGAGGGTATTGATTGCCAAATGCGATCTTTAGTGTAACTTTTGTGGCTGATATCCTGTGTAGGAAGATGGTTTCAATGACAATGGAATTCGGAAGAATTTTTTTTTTCTTTCTGACAAAAGTGAATTCGTGATAGCTTTCTGACGAGTAGCTCCCTCATGATTGATTTTGATCTTTATGCATTTTTTTGTCATGCATAAGTAACAAGTATTTCACTAATAGTCTACGAAATAACTCCTTTCGCAAAGTCATTTGGTGTAATAAAGAAAAGGGTAAACCACTATGTTGAACACACCCTAGTGCCCATTATGTAAGGTAAATCGCAGGGTGTCATTTGGCCTTTTTTATAAGCTGTTGGAGTTCCAAGAAAATAAACCACACTTTCTTAAAATAAATTATTGGTTTGCACATTGTTTAGTAATTGTGCATATGATATATTAACGACTAGGAAAACTATTTAACATACACAATGTTCAACTTTTCTGCTTTCCGCCCACCTAAACAATCTTGAAGTGGTTCGACAAATTTGATACCACCAACGGTTTTCCGTGCTAAATCCTCGAACACGTCGGTCTATATTAGTTATTGGTTACAATTTAATCCCAAATTAATTTTTGTTTACAAAAAGGACAAAATACCGACTAAAACTTCGGAATAACTCTTCGTGGCCGGTTTCGCAGATTTAGCCAGTATTCCGGGTTTTTTCATTAATTGATCAAAATTTTGAGGTTTTTCGTTAATTGATCAATTATCCTTAAACTTATTATAAACTAGGCGAATGCCCGCGCGTTGCGCAGAAACAACTATATAGTTGAAGTTTTTACAAATATATGTTTTTTTTAATATAGCAATAACGTTGTTGTTAAATTTGATATAATAATTCGTATACTAAATTGATATAATATATTGATTATTTTGAATTATATACGTCTATTATAACTACATAATCTTAATCGTTTGAATGATTTCTATCTACGAGTTACACATGAATAAAATTAAATATAATATATGGTTTAATGTTATTTATAGTTGTTATTGTTAATGAATTTTTTAAAATTTATTTGCTTAATGTTTTAATTTCTATCATTATAATTATTTGAAACATCAAACATTATTTTTTGATTTTAAAGGTAACAAATTGTCATTTATATATAGTTATTTTTAACTATTGTTATCGTAAGTTTTTTTAAGCTACTTATTTGAAAACTTTTAACGATTATAAAAATATCTTTAAGTGGAACTGAAATTTGTATTTAAGTTGACGTTGTAATGTTATATTTAAATTAACAATTTAAGTATTTTGTCCAAACTGTTCAAAAGTTGTAGCTTTAAACTGATAATTGTGTACATACAACAACATATTAAATCTAATAAATTAAGTATAATATGTTAAAAGTTAAAGACATAACTTTGTAACCTTATAAGTAGAAGTAAATATATTATTTTAAAATTGAAATTTAGTATATTTATGATTACACTTTAGGTTTGATATTTATTTAACCTTATTAACCAACTTATAATCATTGTTAGAAAGACACTACAACTAATCACTTTTAACTATTTACAAAATATTCTTTGGGTTGTTAAAGTTAAACTAAAACTTATATTTAAGTTGACCCTGTAATGTTATATTCAAATTAATAATTTAAATATTTTATACAAATTGTTCCAAAAGTGTATTTTTAAAATGATAATGGTTTACATCCAACAATATATTAAAACTAATAAATTAAGTATAATATGTTATAAGTTAAGAAACATAACTTTATTAGTAGAAGCAAATATATTATTTTAATATTGAAATTTAGTTTATATATGATTACACTTTAGGTTTCATATTTATTTAATCTTATTAACCAAATTATAATTATTATTAGAAAGAAATTGAAAAGTCATGAGAGTTTCAAATGAATGTGGTGAAAGGAAAAAAGTATGGGAGTTTCAAATGAATGTGGTGAAAGGAAAAATGCTTCCTTTATAATATAGTATGATATGATGATATGATTTCACTCATCCGCGTCTCAAACTACTACTCAATGCTGTTTTTCACTTTTTTTTATCCACCTCTCCAACTTGTACTCTTTCAACTTATTTAGTGTTTTAATCTAACACGAAACAACATACTTATAAGGTTATACTCTAAACAAATCAACTTGACATGAAAATAAATTGATTGACACGAAAATGAAGGTGTTGACACGAGGTCGGTTTAAGATCAACTAGGACATAAATGATAATTCATAATATATTTCATGTCAAAATCTTTAAGTGTGTCTAATATAACAACCATTTTACCTTATAAACACATAAAATAAAGTCTAGGATTAAGATATGTAAACTATTTTACATTTTAAACACATAAAACAAAGCTTTTAGGATTAAGATATGTAAAACATAAGGATTAAGTTAATTATATATACATGCATGCCTTACAACTTGGAAAGGCGAATAAGAAAAAGTGAAAAACGGAAAAGAGTAGTAGTTTGAGATGTGGATGAGTGAAATTCACAATCAATAAGTTTAAGGATAATTGATCAATTAACGGAAAAACCCCAAAATTTTGTTCAATTAACGAAAAAAACCAGAATCCTAGCTAAATCCGTGAAACCGGCCACAGACGGTTATTCTGAAATTTTAGCCAGTATTTTGTCATTTTTTTATAAACGAAACTTAATTTGGGATTAAATCATAAAATGACCTAAAATATTAGGATTTTATTGGAGATTTCCCTACGGTTGTTACCTATATCCATCCTCATAATGCTTCTATAAAAAGCATGTTAAAGGAAGGCGTTGCAAAAACGGATGCCACTTGCCCATAAAGTTTTAGAAATACTCATTGTGGTTCACACTTCACAGTAACAATGTTTTTTCTATGATGTTACTTATATTTATTACTGATATTTATTGAAAATTTTAAGTGTTTTAATTTTTTGGATTTTAAAAAACACGTTTCATAGAACCTATTTAAAATTTTCATTAATGTTTTTAAACAAGCAAATCATAATCAAATATCGTGGAAAAGTTCCCCAAAATCCTTATTATATTTACGTACAAATAACATCATGTTTTAAAAAAAACAAGTACATGGGAATGAATCATAAATATCAAAACATAGTGCAAGTGACAAGTCGAATACTACGCCTCAAGTCTTCACAAATTCAAGTCGTAACAACAAGGGTTTTTATTAATTTTTTTTTGTCTTCACAAAATCATAATAACAAGGGTTTTTGTTAATTTTTTTTTTGAAACAGCATCCTTAAATCCACATATGTCCTGTGTCCATGACGAGACTTGAACCCTCAAACTCAAGGAGGGAGGACAATACCAAATAACGCTGGGTTAGAAGCCCTTTGATAGGGGTTTTTTGTTCATAAACAGTATATTCGGTTCATCAGTCTACACTTAACACTTGTAATGATACATTGTAGATGTCTAAGGCCAGTGGGTGTACCCACTACCCATAACACAAAAGAATTCAACCACCCAAGCGCCACATTAACACCACTTTCATACCACTTATCTTGTAAATACCTACCGTATCACCAACCATTAATACTCCATAACTCCACATCAACATAACCTTGTGGGGGGGGGGGGGACATGTTATAACATTTACCTCATAGACATAACACACCCTGTTAGATATTTGAAAACGACAAACAAATTAAGTGGAAGCTTACTCGCAATATTTCAGCGAGCACCCCGGGTTCGAGCTCATTTAAAGGGCAAACCCAACCTCCATAGGGATTTCCAGGAAAAATTCTCCACATGTGGCACTGCAAAAGGTAGTTTAATGGAATCAAACTCTCAACCTCACGTCTCACGTGGGTATAAAATCTGGTGCATCAACCCTAGCTAGACATTACTTGCACACCATGTTAGGTGCATACCCATAGCCTAAGATGCAAACACAAAATTTCATTGTTCACCAATTTTACTGTTTTAAATCTTTTTCCAT